GGGCTTGTCCAGGCGGGCGGGGGGGAGGGCGTTCTCCGTCGGGGTGGCACGGCCATCCACTGAATCCATGGGATCCCGGGAGTGGGCCCTCGGTGGCACACCTGGACAGGGACAGGAAGGAGCCATGAGCCACGGCCTGGGGGGGCTGCGGGTCTCATGGACCTCCTCCTCTTCCTCCTCCTCTTCCTCCCCACCCGCAGAGCTCAAGGTGCCCAGAGAAAAGATCCAGCCAGCCCAACGTAGCCTCCGCTTCCACGTGCCTCCAAGAGGGGAGCAGCTCTCCAGCAAGATTCCCTGGATGCTCCCCTGGGGGATGGTGACCCTCAGGAAGCCACCGAGCAAGCAGGTGACAGGGACAGAAGCAAAAAGCCACAAGAAAGGGTGAGAGATGCCTCAGCAGAGAGGTGGCTGAGTCTCAGATTGATTCCCCAGCAGAGGTGGCCGAGTCCCCAAAGACATTAATAAATGACCCCAAGAGCCTGCAAAGGCTCCAGAGGGTTTGGAAAGGTTGGAGTGTTGGAGGAACACCAGGGAACAGAACCCAAGTGCCAGCAGCAACTGAGCTGCTGGAGGAAGGAAAACTCAGGGCCTGTCTGCCCTCGAGGAGAGGGACAGGAATGCTCCCTGTGTCCAAAGAGGCTTTAAGGATGAGACAGGAGAGGAAAGGATGGAGGGTGCTGCCTCTGGCTGAGCCCCTCGGGGGAGCCACGGCTCCCCAGCTGCCACCAAGGGAAGTCCCTGGGGGCCAGGCCCAAACTCGGCCTCCCCACGCCCAGCGAGGTGAAGGGTGGCACAAGGAACACTCCCTGTTCCACCAAACCACCACAGCAGGTCGGGACATGGTGCAACCACAGGGGCACCAGAACTGGAGGAAGGTGCCAAAGGTCCCAGCTACCCCACGGGGGTAGCTCAGGAAGAAGGGTTTGAATTTTCCTTGCATGAAAACGAGCCACGGGATCTACAATGGCCACAGCTGGCCAAGACCTCCTGGCCAAGATGGTCCCTGGGGGTGGGCAGAGCTCCCCAGCACGGGGCTGGGGTGTCACATCGCTGCGGAGTGAGGCGAGGACCACCTATTGCCATTGTAGAAAGCCCACGGCCAGGCCCCAGCTGGAATATTGAGTCCAGTGTTGGGCACCTTACCTCCGCAGGGATGGACAAATTCTGGAGGAGATCCAGAGAAGAGCTACTAATAGATATTGGAGGGTCTTAGCTATGTTGATAGGCTGAAGAGCTTAAGCCCATTCAGTTTGGAGAGGAGGAGGAGGAGGCTACGAGGGATCTTCGCAGTGTGTGAGCACCTAAAAGGGGATCATAAAGACTCGGGTCAGGATCTAATCAGACTCAGCAGCAACAGGAAAATACCCCAGAAACTCCTTGGCAATGTCCCCCCCAACCCCGAGGGCTTGGTGGGCTCGGCCTGACAGCTCTGCTGGGGATTTGGGGGGGGCAGTGGGGAGCCCCCAACCCCTCCCCTGCTTCCACCTCAACTCACGTTTGCGAGCCTGTGCCTCGAACTGCGACAGGTTCTGCCGGGTGGCCAACCTCACCTCCACCTTCTCCCCGTTGAGGATTTTGCCAGGCAGGAGCTCCAGGAGCTTGTGGACTGAGTTTTCAGAGGCCACCACCACCTCTGCGTACCTGTGGGAAAGGCTGGAGGTCAGCCAGGAAGGGAACCCACCCATCCCTCCTCCCTGGCAAAGACCTTCTTCCCTTTCCCAACACGTTTGGGTGTCTCTGCTTGACCACCCCAGCTGCAGGTGGGCTGGGCATCACCCTGTGCCAGGCAGGAACTGCCCCCTCACACCCCCAGAACACAGGGGGTGACCCTGAGGGCCTGTCCCTCCCCAGATTCCCCCCCTGGATCTCACCCTTTGGACTGGCCATTGGCTCGGTTCTCAGCGAACTTCAGCTCCACCACGTCGTAGACACCAACCGAGCGGATGGTCTGGATCAGCTGCTGGTCTGTTGTCCACTGAGGGAATGAAGAGAGGACGGGCTGGGATCAGCTCACAGAGCCCTTCACAAGGCCCCCAGTGCCCCCCAGGTAACCCAGGCTCAGAGGGCTGGGGCAGGGACCTTGAGCTCAGACACCCTCAGAGCCCCTACAGGGAGTTTAACAATCACCCTCACATCTAGAAGAGGCCCTGGGCACGGATTTCAGGGGCCTTTATTCCCTGGAAAAGCCAGAGCATTCCCAGCACTGTCTTCAGATCCATGAGAAGGAGAAAGGGACCCCTCTGTGTGTCCCCCAGGAAGGCAGATGCTGATGGGGACAGCAGTCCATGAGAGGGGAGCCATGGGTCACCCACCCCAGCCTGGATCTGAAGCCCCTCAAAGCTCCAAATCCCTTTTCCCCGAGGAAAAGATCCCTTGTTACCACAAGCTGGGTCAAGCCCAGCTCCCACCACATCCTGGGACAATGGGTCAGGATGGATTAAGAAAGAACAGCACCCCCAAAGAACCCTGCAAGCCCCCTTGGGGGTGTGTTTGTAGGACAACCCCATGTATCTACAACCCCACCGAGGACCCCAAACAGCCCGGGTGGGTGACCTGGAGACCCCCCAGGGGTAACAAACCATGATGCCACTCACCCAGGAGAAGCTGCCCACGTAAACAGCAGCCCTCTTGTTGCGTAGCCCGCTGTAGGTGTAGAGGATGGCAGGGGGTTTGGTGTGGGGCTTGGGGGAGGGCTCCTGGCGGGGCTCCTGGGGGGGCTCGGAGCTGCTGCTGCTGCGGCTCTCGGGGGGCTGTGAGCTGGCGGCCAACACGTCGTCGTACAGATCCATCTGATCAGCATTACTGAACTCAGAGTCCTGTGGGGAGAGACCCTCAGCAGCCAGGGGGGACATGACCACTCCCAGAGGGACCTACCAGCCTCAAACCCACCCTGGAGGACCCTCTGGAGGCCTCCCAAGCTCCCCCAGAAGAGCCCAACCACCACAGGGGAGACACTCAGCAGCCAGGGGGGACATGACCACACCCAGAAGGACCTACCAGCCTCAAACCCACCCTGGAGGACCCTCTGGAGGCCTCCCAAGCTCCCCCAGAAGAACCCAACCCCTGGAGGAGAGACCCCCAGCACTCAGTGGGGTCACTGCTGCACCCACAGGGACCTATGAGCCTGAAATGAACCCTGGAGGAACCTGTGGAGGCCTTCAAGCTCTCCCAGAAGAATCCACTCACAATAGGGGAGGCTTAAACTGACCCCACGTGCTCTTTGATCAGCATTACTAAACTCAAAGAGTCCTCTGGGAGGAGACTCTCAGCACCCAGGGGTGACATTGCTGCTCCCAGAGAGACCTACCAGCCTGAAACAGACCCTGGAAGAACATCTGGAGGCCTCCAAGCCCCTCCTAGAAGAACCCAACCACCACAGGAGATGTTTAAATACCCCCCATGAGCTCTTTTGAGGCAGCAGCAGGTTAGTCCAAAGGTTTAGTACCCCAACTTCTCCTCTGGGGTTTGCGGGAAGCTGGTGGGGATTCCCTGCTGGGAATGGAGCCATGCACAGATCCAGAGCCTCTTCTCTCCTTCCAGCCAGCTCCTGGAGCCCTGTCCCCTCCCTTCAGTGACACTCTGCTGCCTCCTTGATGGAGTGTCCCTCCTTCAGGACTTCCTTCCCTCCCCCTGGCCCAGCAGATCCCTCTCAGCACCACACTGATCCTTCCAGCCATTCCCTGGGCTCATGACCCATCCCTTGCTCCAGGAATTCCACCCCACCACACACACCTTGCTCTTCCTCCTGGGAAACACAGAAACCCCTCCTGCACATCTCCAAACGTGACCACCAGCCCCACAGCAAGGAGCTCAACACCTTTCCCAGCAATCCAGGACGACAAGTGCCCCAAAGATGGGGTGATGGGCTCTGCTTTGGGATGCTGGACATAACCTTGGAGCACTTCTGGTGTGGAAGGAGGCAGAGAAAGGAGGGATAATTCAGGAAGAGGCTCCATGGGGTTTGATCTTCATCCCCCTCAAGCTTCTTGGCTTTTGCAAGCTCTGGCACATGGGGAGGGCAAGCTCAGCTGTCCTGAGCAACAGGACAAGACTCAACGTGAAGCCACCAGGAAGAACTTTGCCTTTTGTAAGGACACAGGGAAGGGGAGGAGTTGGTGGGAAAACTCATCACACTCAACGGAGCCTCTTCCTCCTTGGAGGCAACAAATCCAGCCTGGGGCTCACAACCCACTCCCTCAAATCCTTCTCCTCTTGGCTAAACCCCTCTGAGCTCAATAGCTTTGGGGTGAGGAACGGCCCACCCTGTCCCCACACACACCACGTCCCTTTTCCCACTTCCAAGGAAGCTTCTGAACTGGGATCTAGAGTGTCCCAGATCTGCTTCCCAGTTCCCACAGTGTTCCAAGGCTCAGTTTCACTGGGAATGTGCAGCCCGTGCTGTGGTTGCTCTGGATCTCCAGCCTCCATGTTCACCCTGGATCCAGGTGGAGCAACATTGCAGCCCACAAATCCCTCACGGGAGCGACACCCGAATCCCTGGCAGCACCAAAGCTACAGGTTCTGCTCCCAGATTTTCCAATCCCAATTTTTAAAGGCAGTTGGGATGACACCTTCTGCTGGAGGGGGTTGAAATCCCCTCCGTGACAGGCAGGGAACCTCACACGGACAACACAGACCTCAGGAGCTCAGGGCTGAGGCAGGGAAGGGTGTCCTGGCATTCAAACCATCATGGAAATACAAAAATCCAAGTGTTTTGCCCAAGAAGTTCCTCTTTCCAGGAATATCCATTCTCAGAGCAAGTTGTATTCCATATCCAGCTATTTCAGCTGCAGAGCTGAGGAACTGTGACAAAGAATTCCAACCAGGAGCAATATTTTCATCCTCATTCTCCAAACAGCTCCTACCCGTTTTGTTTAACCCACTTCCCACCAAAACACCTCTGGACACAGCCCAAGGCTGCAAGATTC